GATTTTTAATTTACTTATTTTGCTAATTTTTAATTTACCTATTTTAATTTACCTAATCTGTTTTTATCTATTTTGCTTAAGCACAATTTTTATTAATTACTAGTGTGGCCGCTTCTGGGTCGCGCAAAAGCCCACTGTCGATAAGGTACTTCCCCGTAACTTAAGAAGTAGCAATATTTGAGACATTGTGGTGTTGTATACACACAGAGCACGTCTCGAAACGACAATATCTTTCCAAGAGCTGTTAGTCTAGCGCTCTGTTTAAGAGATAAGGAACGTTAGAGTGGATAGCAAGCTGACCTCGAGTCCATGTACCGTTGATCAGAGTAATGGAAAAGCTGCTACTTGCAAGGGTGGAGGAAAATGCTATGAGTTGGCTTTAGTGAAAATGCGAGAAAAAGAGTTTGCCTACTAAAAATCACCTTGTTTCATCAGACCGTTGAATTACTTAAGAAATGCGGCTGCGCTGCTCTAGCCGACTAGACTGTGGTACTCATCATCTCCTCTGCCTTCATTGACGGAAGGGTAAAAAGAGAGGATTTGTGGCTTTGATTTTGATATTTACCAGCGTATTGTAGGTACCATTGACGTCAAACAATAACGTATGCTTCGTGACTGCCAACGATACAGTCGAAGCTGTAACCGTATACAATCGTCAATTCGAGCAACCAAGTAATTTAACAGCCCATGACATTTTACAACTTGGGCCATATTCTGCTACGAAAATGCTCTACATGAAGGACCTACAGTGCCGGATTGAGCACACTTTCGATGTAAGTTTGACTACCAAAAAATTAAAAGAAAAAAGGAAAACGGCAAGCAACTGGATGAACTTGCAAGTGGCTGGCGCGCGGCGGTTGTTTTCTCGCTACCAGTTGTGCATATGCTTACTAGTGACTATTTGACCAGTAGTTTTTTTCATGTTTACGTTTCTTCTCACCACTGATGCCACCGGCAACTTTGCCTTTTTTTCACTCACAGTTTTATATCACCGTTCAAGCGGTTCAAAATTTCACCTCACTGACGATCCTTCCTGTGTTCTTTTAACATCTTTCATACTACTACAGGCTTTCAAAGTTTGAAAATTTCAGGAAGACAGTGAATGTATGGTATGGGTAACTTATAAGGATTATGGTTATGAGTGTTGCTGCTATGGCGATAACATTGACAATTGTCAAGGTATTTGGATTCACTGCCACTGTAGTTTAGACCATCAGTCCACGCATTAGTGTTACCAAAAAAATTAATCCTCGTCCTGACCGATCAATTTATGAGAGTAGACTAGCAAAGAGACCTGAAAGTTGCGTGTGAATTAAGTTACTGCAAAATATGAAATAAACAAAATATAAAAAAATGTGTGTCAAAAAATAATCAAATAAACAGAAATTTTTCAGTCATTTAATTCATACATATTCCCATTTCTATTCACAGATTGCTTCATCAGTGCTGCAATTGTAATGTTAGTAAATAAAGGTTAGAAAATTAGGGAAGTAACGTGAATGTAAATGTATAATGGGATAATGTCCAGTTGTAGGATTAAAAAAAAAAAAAAAAAAAAAAA